TGAATGTCAGTTAGATTCTCGTAAGGAAAAGGGTAACTTAAAATGGAGTTTTACTTAGCATAACAAAGATAAAATGTAACAAACTTATACATAGCGTACTGAAGTGTGAACAGTAACACTGAATATTTTGAATGACATTTGGAGTCGCAGGAAATGATAATGATAAATTAAGTGTATATAGACATTATTGATAAAGAATAAGAATAAGGATTGAGAAGAATGAGGTTTAGATGACACGTATGTTTTAATGTTACTTGATTGTTAATTAACGCAACCGTTATATTTTATATTATGATTAAGATTTTTGGCGAGGACGCCATCTTCTCAGAAGAAGGGGAGTTGTGTAACGGTTGCATGATAAGGCTTTTCATGTTTTTAACTTCCAAATAATGCTAACGTCGTGAAAATGGAACAGCATTATAGAAACCTGTTATTGGAACAAGGAAAAGAATTTAGATTGATACCTGTCTCTGAAAACTAGTACACTACAGTCTGTCGTATGACGATATTTGAAATAAAGAGTTCTCATTGGTTAAACCGGTTTTTGGTACAGCTGAATTTTATATGTGAGTTGTACAAGTTTGAGTTCGTCTGGTCGAAGGCAGGATACGATGAAGACTCTGTGATTGTGGCTTCTTGTTTGATGTTTGGATTTTGGACCATGTTTTGTTGAGTATTGGATATTGGTACAAGGTTTGATATACGGAAGTACATTAGGTATAGTACAACGAGGTACGCCTTTGTCTTTATCACTAGTAGTAGTTTGGGATCAAATACTTGATGTAAGATGTATTACGATAACGGAAGTTAGGGCGTGGCATGGCCCTCTGGCGCTCCGGGGTTGGATCTCGTTATTAGCATTTCCATTTAATCTCTTATTGTTTGTGGCTTACTGTATGCATGTGTTGTTATATGTTGTAAATAAATATTTGATGTTGTAAACCGTGTTGATTTTATCCGATTGTTATCCTTGTAAATACCCTCTGTCCTTTGTTCCTTTTGCTCAGCTTTACTTTCAGTACCAACTCAATACCCCCTAGTAAGGTCGCATTACAGTAGGGTCATCTAGGGATTATATTTAATTTTACACACTGATTTTTTCGATAATTTTTAATTATAATTACTAATATGATATAAACATTTAAAATATGATAAGGTTAGAAAATATAATTGCCCAGAACTTTTGTCTAAAATATGATTATGATTTGGGTCGTTGTGTGGGTGGGTGGATCTTTCCGTCTTTATTAGCTGCTTGTCAGGCTTGGCATTTAATCATGTTGAACAGGATGCTACCTTTCTATCCGTATATTCGATTCAATCATGCATATGCCATTTAAGGGACCCAACACATTACAAAACTTCTTAACGGAGAGGAATAAGGGAAAATGCTTGCCGGTTTCTGAATCTGTGTATTTTTTAATGATTGTTCACCGTCTTAGAATTTCGATTTTTTTCCTTTGAAAAAATGAGATTTGCATTGTTTTCCAATTAGAAAAATGAGTAAACATGAATAGCTCCAAATCTAACGGTGAGATTTTGTTTTAAAAAATCATGGATATCAAGGCTAAATGTAGCTATACAATTAACATAAAAAAGCAATGCTTGGACTCTTCATATTCACACAAAAAAAATTAATTAGTAAATGAGGTTTGATATTTGTGAGAATAAGTTGTACAATGTGCAATGCTCTACAAACACCAGACTACAGGGTGGATTAGGATCAATGACACACATAAAAATTAATATAAAAATATTTCATTTTTGTTATAAAGATGACCCATAGCTTTACTATTGACTTGCCACAGTCAACGTTGAGCGAGCACATTGGGCAACATCAGAAAAACCCAAAATACAGAATAATATTCTATGATGTTAATATGGTATGTATATGTAAGCCACATCTAATACAATTTTAAAGCAATATTTCATTTTGCTGAGGGATATTAATCTTTTTATTCCATTATAACAGTTTTCCAGGGGATTAACAGTAAAATATAAAAGCTAGGGAAAATCCCATATCAGATCCCATATCAGAAAAATCACTTATTGAATCCTGTATCTGATTCCATATCAGCCAAAAATCTGAGCTAGATTTGCATCACCATTTCAGAATTTAATTTTTTTTAGAATTTCTACACAAAAAGACATTTTTGTTGCGGACAATACTACATCACGCAATCTTTATATTATTATCTTTGTAGTCAGCTTGACGGGCAGGCGGGCGGGAGGACCGCGGGCGGCGTCTCACTTTTCAGCTTGTCTACAGGTTTCCAGCCAAACCATTTGAGGGATTCATCTGAAATTTTCAGCGATGTTTCTACATATCAACGTCAAGAACTGATTAGTTTTTGGGCATTCTGGGTAAATCTTAAGGTGGCCATTTTGGATTTTCCGTCCTAAAATCTTCACTTTCAAGACTTGTCTACAGGTTTTCAGCCAAACCATTTGAGGGATTCATCTGAAATTTTCAGGGATGTTTCTACATATCAACGTCAAGAACTGATTAGTTTTTGGGCATTCTGGGTAAATTTTAAGGTGGCCATTTTGGATTTTCCGTCCTAAAATCTTCACTTTCAAGACTTGTCTACAGGTTTCCAGCCAAACCATTTGAGGGATTCATCTGAAATTTTCAGGGATGTTTCTACATATCAACGTCAAGAACTGATTAGTTTTTGGGCATTCTGGGTAAAATTTTAAGGTGGCCATTTTGGATTTTCCGTCCTAAAATCTTCACTTTCAAGACTTGCCTACAGGTTTTCAGCCAAACCATTTGAGGGATTCATCTGAAATTTTCAGGGATGTTTCTACATATCAACGTCAAGAACTGATTAGTTTTTGGGCATTCTGGGTAAATTTTAAGGCGGCCATTTTGGATTTTCCGTCCTAAAATCTATACTTTCAAGACTTGTCTACAGGTTTCCAGCCAAACCTTTTGAGGGATTCATCTGAAATTTTCAGGGATGTTTCTACATATCAACGTCAAGAACTGATTAGTTTTTGGGCATTCTGGGTAAATTTTAAGGTGGCCATTTTGGATTTTCCGTCCTAAAATCTTCACTTTCAAGACTTGTCTACAGATTTTCAGCCAAACCATTTGAGGGATTCATCTGAAGTTTTCAGGGATGTTTTTACATATCAACGTCAAGAACTGATTGGTGTTTGGGCATTCTGGGGAAATTTTAAGGTGGCCATTTTGGATTTTCCGTCCTAAAATCTTCACTTTCAAGACTTGTCTACAGGTTTCCAGCCAAACCGTTCAAATTTTTACATATGTTACAGAGTGATAAGTTCTAGAGCTGATTAACTTTTCTGCGGCCATCTTGCTTTCTTGGTCAACAAGACCACAATGCTGTGTTTTAGGTACACTATTGTTCACGTCTGTGCCTTGTTTTATAAAGATATTTGCAGAGATTGCATGGTGCAAAGTCATCTGTAACGAAGAATCCTCATTGCATCAAAATTCTACATGTAATATCTGAAATGATAATGCAAAAATGGTGCTGATACAAAAGTAAAATGGGAGAAATAATTAAGTTTTGTGACTTTATGATCATTTTGCTGGTGATCTGTTTTGAGAAGACATTAATCTAACTTACATTTTTGATTTTGTGGTTAGAGAATGTCTGTGATCATGTAATATGGCACCAACAAATGTGGAATGATGGTAGGAACGTTAACGGCAATAAATTGAGGATGTACAGAATTCATAAATCCCATGCCATTGGCCCTGAGAGGCTTATGTGAATGCTAACCTCACCCGCCATGAAAGACGTGCCATGGCTCAACTACGAAGTGGCACTTTACCGTTAAAACTAGAAACGGGTCGTTATATCAATATGCCTCTTGAGGAGCGCCTCTGTCATTGCGGTAATGCTGTCGAAACAGAACTGCATTTTCTGATAGAATGCCCTTTATACCAGCTCGAGAGGAGTGAGCTTATGGATAGTGCAAGGACAATATTTGGCGATGACTTTGAAACATCTAACCTTTCAAAATATTGTTTAATAATGAACTGTGAGCTCCTTCAACGTCGTTTGGGAAAGACAATTATTAAACTATGTATTAAAAGACGATCATTTTAACTTATTTAAAAACTTTGGTCTTAAAAGTGATTATTGTACCTCATAGTGTCTCATATGCCGACACCGGCAGGGCCAGTGATTTTATGTAGTTTTTAATAATATGTAATTTTATATATTGGCGTGACACTTAAATAATAAATACATACATACATACATACACACATACATACATACATACATACATACATAAAATTTGAAATAAATATATATACTTTTCTCTATATTGTTTTAGAAAACACATCAGACACTTCTTTTGTTCTTGGTATCATATGTTCGGAATGAAATGGAACATCTATCCGAACCTCATTTTAACAAAATGACATAAACACAACATGTTTCGGTCTTTCAATATTGTAATTGTATAAAGAAAAGTTTTGTTGATTTAGAAAAGGATCTTGTTAATGATATAAAGGGTTTATCTTATTTTTCATCTATTTTGTTTTTTTTGTTTTCATTTTTAAGATACTATTTGTTAAATCAACCAAAGTTTCCTATGTATAACTTTAATATTGAAAGTCTAAGAAACGGTTGTATCTGCTATTTTGTTCCAACAAGCTTCGGAAAGATATTTTATTTCATTCTCAAGAATTGCTAAAAAGGAACAAAAAACAATTGCATTAAAAACAAAAAATGTTAACAAAAACAGTTATATAAAATATATACAAATCATTTTCGCATTAAGAGAAAAACATTGTTGAACTCGGTTCACCATCTCGATAGCAATTCCCTAAAAATTTTAAATTTCACCTTTTTAAACTTTTGAAAAATTCCAGGGAGAGGGATGGATATATTATATCTGCCCACATTTGGCCCGGCGCGGGATATATACAATATATCCTGCCCGCTCCTCAGAAATGATATATATTCTCGGGTGATATATACCCCAGACCCACTCAAGTATGAGATACGACATATTTTGCATACCTGTATCACAAGTTGGTCCAGTCTCTCCACCTGAGTCACATGTGTAGCCATTTATTCCATCAGTACAGGTTTCATTTGAAACACAGGGTGACGATTCACACTCATTTAATTCTGCAAATCGATTTAATTAATGACTAGTTTACTATGTTCATATGTTAACAATTTGTGATATGTGATTCTAAACGTGTATTTTGACGTTCACGTACACGTTTGACTATTTTTATGATTTAATTTCTACTACATGTATCAAATATGAAAAAACGTATCTCCGAATTTATTCCTCAACGGTTATACACACAAATATAAATTTATTTTTCTAGGGCAAAATGAGTCACAGGTAGGCCTATATGTACTTTATATCGACGTAGAATTGCTTCACATTTATAATTATGTGGCAACAATGATCCTAAAATCATTTTTAATTTGAGCCCCCCCTCCCTGTTCAATTCAAGTAACCCGGAATTAAGAAATATAGACCGAAAAGCGGGTGTAATGTTGTCGAATACACCCTGCAGGGCTAGGCACAAACGTTTTCTGTACCCCGGACAACTGAAGGGAGTGAGGGGTTCGAAGACTTTTGTGCCTAGCCCTAAAGGGTGTATTCGACGATAGTACACCTGCTCTGAGGTCTACAGTGTATATTACGATTCGAACATGAAAACTCTCCAAAATGTTTCGAATATTCATTATGGTCACAGTTTATAGAGGGTCTGAATATTGTCATGTTGGAATACAGGTTACATCTTAATTGGCGATTCCTTTATTGTCATGCAGAAAATGAACAAATCTAATTATATATTACTGTCAGATTCCCCACTCTCTCATTGGTCTATACATTACACGTGACATAAAGACGTATGCAACGGCCATGCCTGTGTCGTCATAAAAAAGGCTGTTCAAGGGGGAGTATTCACAAGGTGTGGCGTTTCGTCGAGTGTAAATCTCGAAGTGATACTTGTTCTTAACAGTGGATAATAAAATAAATATTTCATATTTTTCGGTGAATCCATATTGCAGCTTCAATGATTCTGCAAGGTAGTCTGACCCGTCGCGCTTCGAGGAATACACCTTGCTAGAATCATTGAAATGTGGACAGGTGATCACCTCAACAGTATGAAACATTTCTGACACTCGATTCACCCTTGAAAATATAGTTTTGTTCTATCAATCACGGACCTCTGCCAGATTACCTCTATGGTGTCTAGACTCAATGAATATACCCATTTACTTTGAGCCTACTACCAATAGGGGCTGGATCTGGCTCCGGATCTGTGCTATCAAATTACCTAAACATTCTGTCGTTCCATTACCACTGTAGCCTGGATTACAAGTACATGCGTACGCATTCACTTTATCTTCACACGTGGCGTGATTTGCACATTTAACATTTTTGCATTCATCTACATCTGAAAAGCATCTGTATTTACATCTTATATTCTCTCAACCTATTTACTTGCGTTAAAAAATTATTACAAAAATGGCTCCTCAGCTAACGAAGTTCGGTACAGATATAGTGAAGTTCTCCGTCAGAATGATTTGTCAGACTTTCTGATTCAGAAGTAGATTATTATACTATGCAATGGAAATAGGCATAATGTGTTGTACTTTTCTGATTCGAGCCTTGGAAAATTCAAAATGGCCGCTAATGTGGGATTTCACAATAATTTCATGGTCTCAATTTCACATTTATGGGTGAAGTTTCGGGATTTTCTATTTGTGTATAATGAAAAATTGTCATCTCCCGTAACGTATTAGTACACAGCTTGGCATATGAAATATCCTCCAAATGAAACAAAGCATTTCGAATACAAGGATTTATATTGGCTGTTGTACATGCATTCTTTGAACAATCACTCTCTCAATAATGTTTTCAGAATCATTATAAATGGATTACTTTATCCTCAAGACAATTTCAATTAATTTGATTTTACGATTTTATTTTCCCCTAGTTTCTTCAAAATAGGCTGATCAAGTTGACTCGCCTGGAGCCACCATATTGTTTTTATTGTATTGAAGTTCATATACTTTGTTAAAAATTGTATAAATACAATGTATACCTATACATTGGTATATCGAATGAATAAATACAAAGCCTGGGTTACATTCACACGAGTACCACCCCGCCGTATTGATGCATTCCCCAGGAACAAATGTTTCGTTGCCTTCTATGATTTCGTCCCCACAATACAACGGGAGGTCTTCAGGATCGCATTCATCGATATCTGAAAAACGATTTGATTGCCACAGTGTTCAGGGGCTAAGCCAGTTTTCAGTCGGGGGGGGGGGGGGGCGATCGCCAAAACAAATTCGGTTTTCAGTCAGGAGTGCGATTGTGGCATAAGCAACCCCAAAATAAAGATTTGCTTTAAATTTTACAAAAAATTGATGCAACTTCCTTCGAAATTGTGCTAGAAACTTCAAAAAAGCATTTCAAAGCGTTTTACTTCTATCTAGTGGTTGTATTTTTATTGGTTATAGGGGGGATGTGCGATCGCACCCATCGCTACGTTACGCCACCGCCTATGGTGTTAATGATAGTTCATGTACGAGTTGGTGTTTATTTAGTATGCATTAATTATTAATCGCTCAGTTTTGCATTTCCTACCTTCCCATTTGTACAAAAATATGTTTTAACACAAATATTCATTCAGGTTATTGTTCCATAAGCCTTAATCATAAGTTGTTATGAAATTATTTATTTCTTTTCGTTACAATCCATTTGTGCCCTAACATGCATTTTATGGTTTACAGTCTACACAAATTTATTATAAGCATATTCTGAGTACTACTAATTTATTTAGTTCGAAACGTTTCCCCCTATGGTGTTATATCATCATTTTTATCAACATAGACTATTGATTGATTCATAAGCATTTAAACCAGACAGCGAAAATCTGGAAAACGGGTATTGGATCTAGTTTTTTAACAAAAATGTTATATAGCCGTGAATGTATGTAATATTCGTTGGGCGTCCCCAACCCGTGGCACTAGTTGAACTGGCGAGAGTTGGAGTTCTATTGTGTCTGTTTTGGCGACCAAAGTTAGTTCACGACTTTACACTGATATGTCGAGGGTTACAACCAAGGGCGTTACAATACCCGGGAATTTATCGGTTCGTGCAGTACTTGTTTGTGATAGCGCCCTCTGTAGGTCACTGTGCTTATAGCCTACAGTAATACGGGGTAGGATATCGGGAATTCGGTCAGTTTCTATCCGTCGATTTCGCTATGAATTGAAGCAAGTGTGACCACTTTATCCACTTAAACAATTTGATAATTGATTAAATCTTTAAACAAAATCGATAAACACGTTATACACTTCCTATCTCCTTAGAAATTAGCATGTATTTATGGATTGTGTTTTCGAACAAGGCGCGACCCAGGCCAATAGGGAAATCCTTATGCTAATAAGTATGACGTCATATTTTCCTGGGGAATCCTAGATTTCAAAGCCTCAGTCTGTTATTGTGTCAAATGTAAACGCTCTTTTGCAGACAGAAAATTGACAGATTAGCTTTTAACTTTCAGCTTTGATGTTTAAATATTCTGTATTTCTACCGGATTTCTTGCTGGATATCATACTGTTATAACTTGATTTGGACCATTGCCTGATTGATCATTCTGAAATTTTGATTGTGATTCATGATTGATTGGCAAGAAAAATAATTCCTATTGTTTTCCAGCGAAGTCAAAATGTTACAGCATCAGTTATAATGTCGAGTTTGCATCATGTTAAATTCTGCTAGTGATTAGAAGTCCATGCACAAGCATACACATAAGAGACAAACACACCCAGGTTCCAGGCCGTGGATGGAAATATAAAACTATTTAAGGCACAAACTGGTATTAATAGACCGATATGTAGTGTCTGTCATGTATTGAAGGTAAACCAATCTGCATTATTAATGTTTCTTATATCAATACATGGATTGTGCAATGGAAAAGCAATGGCACAATCAAAAATGTACATATCAATCGTGAATATCTCTCGGTTCAAAGCTTATTTCCAACAGAATCGTGTCAAAATATGTGTCTGAGTAACAGTTATACATTATAAGATCGCAAACTCTTACCAATTATCAGCCGAATGGCTCATTTTCAACGAAATGTCCTTAAGACAACAGCCCTGGGTCGCGCCTGAGACCAAAAACTATTTTAAATAGCCCTCCCCTAATTATATTGGATAATCACATTTATGCGTGCGCGCGCAGCTCATCCACTGAACGAAACGCCACTTCCCGCTGAAATCACCGGGTATTGATCTTTCCCTTGTTACAACTACGTCTTAAAACCAGTTTCCATCACAATAGCTTGCATTTGAAGCCTATACCGGATGCCCAAAAATGAGACACTTTTGACAAGTATTTTCTTATCAATTAATATACCGAATTCACAGAAAATGTGTAGAAAGTAGCCCAAGAGTATCATAAGCAAGTTGTAAAAATAAAAAAGATCAAATATATGTCCAATATTGGAGCTCTGCGACGAGAGACGTTCATAGTGTTTGCGCCAGCTATCAGGTGATAGTATCTTTCAATTAGTCAAAATAAATTATCTTTGTGTGTCATGTCTAATTCATTTCTTTCGTGTTTCATAAATAAGAAATTATTTGTCAAATTGCTTCAGATTTTCTGGTACAAAGACTATTAGGCCATCAGGTTCGCCTCAAAATTTAGGTTATCGGTACCAAGTTAGAGGAATAATGCTCATTGTGATTTTTGGCAAGGTAAACACCTCCAGAGAAAGAAAATATGTGATAGCATTGCAGCAGTGGCAGCTTAATGCGTGTAATCACACATTTTTCAAAATGGCCGCTATTGCGCTTTTTACCAAATAAAAGAATCATATCTTAGTATATTGAGAGGCAAAAACAGTGCTTTTGGGGTCTATTTCTGGGTTTTAGGGGTCAAGGAATTCATTTATGTCGAAATATAAGTCATCAAAAATTGCTTGATATGGAAATCCAAGATGGCCGCCAAAATGGGTCTCAAAACAAATATGTTACTATTCATATAAGCTAAAAAAAGCTCAAAGAACGGTTAAAAAAGTGACTTTGGAGACCATGAATAGGTTTTAGAAGCTGAGGATTTTATTTGCGTCTAAATTTAAGGAGTAATAGAACAAATTTACAAGGAAATCCAAGATGGCCACCAAAATGGGTGCCAAATTGAATATATAACTATTTATATAAACTCAAAAAACAGTTGAAAAGTGCTTTTGCAGACCATGTTAGGGTTTTAGAGGTTAAGGATTCTATCTATGTATAAATTTAAGTGATTAAAAAATACCTTTATATAGAAATTTAAAATGGCTGCCAAAATGGCCGAATTAAGATATGGCTGCTAAAATGAATTTATATGCACATAGAAGTTAAGAAAGTAATGTTATTGATATCTGAAACTATGTTTCAGGGAAAAATGGTTTCAATTTAGCTTTTACCACAGTCATTTTAACCTTTCCTCATATTAAAATCAAAAATGGTCACCAAAATGGCTACCAAAATGAATATTTACATGTACATATATCTACAAGCATTAATGGAGGATGTTGGCCTGTGATTATGGTATCTTTGACTAGTTAGGGATAGAGGATTTCAGTAATCATTGAATTTTTTTCTCTTTACTTTAATTTTTAAATAGTTGTCTTGATGAAATTCAAAGATGGCTGCAAAAATCGCTGCCAAATTTGCTGTTGGTTAAAGTTTATTTCCCTTTTTTTAGCATATTTCTCTCTTTATCTGTGATAACCTCTATATTTTTCAGTGTTCTTTGTTACTTTCTTTTTTGTCAATGTTTTTTTCTTTCTTTTGCTTTCCTTGCTTCCTTTCAATTTTCTTGTTTTATTTGTGTTTTCTCATTCGTGTTGTCTTTGTGTTTTCCTTTTTGTTGTTTTTCTTTATCTTGGAATTGTTTTTCATTTTTGTTTTCTTCTTTTTTGATGCTTTCTTGCTTTCTTCTTTGTTATTTTATCCCCTTTCTTTTTTCTTTATTCTTCTTATTCATTTGCCTTTTTACAATTCTTTTTCATTTAGCTTTTCTTTATGTATGGTTTATTTTTGTTTCATATTTTTCTTTTGTTTTTGCCAAATGTGTTAAAGAAGCTACATTTCATTGACATAAACACATTCATGTTCCGCAGCACTTTATCATGTCACCAGCAGTACTAGCCGTTTTTCTCATGTCTTTGGGTTCAAATGAGTTGGCATTCAGTCAATTAGAGCTCCCGGGATACACCAAAGTGTATCTTGGTACATCTGATTCCTAGAGTGCTAATTTACTTATTAACCATTTCTAGTCAGGCTATCTGTTTGGGTGTGTGTTTGTTCGAGATTATTGGAACCAAAGTTGCAAATCTACTCCCAGGTGATCTTTGCAAGTCACCCCTTCTTACTCTGTTGGAAAAGTCAAAGGAGAATTACACCAAACTGAAAGCAAGACTTTGAACCAGCTCCCTACATTGCTTGAGTCAATAGCTTTCATCCGTTTTTCTAGTTCTCACAGATGCTGTTGATATCTTTAAGGAACTCGAATCAAAATATTTCCTTACATATTCAATTCTCTCATCATGGATAGTATGAATAATTGCACATTAGCTTTCTTTGTATACCACTCAAATGAAAAGATTCCTTGGATTGCACTAGATGCATGCCCAATTGGCAATCATCTCGAAGCAGGGCATGACTAGGTCATAACAGTAATGATGTTCATAAAGGCTTGGCAAGAAGGATGTCTTGTTTCATCACGAGACCTAGGCCTCTATACTAGGACTCTTCTGCTTTCACAATCCAGTCCATTGCTGTGATAAAGAATTGAGATGGTACATCCCATCAAGGCCATCTTGGATATCCAAATAAATATATTCCAGAGTTACTTATTCATTTTGGCAGCCATTTTGGTGGTCATCCTGAATATCCAAATAAAAGAATTATTTGGTGACTGTTTTAGACATAACTGAAGCTGAAACCTATACATGGTCCCCAAAAATCACTTTGTAACTGTTCTTTGAGCATATATTAATAGTAACATATTCATTTTGGCAGCCATCTTAGATTTTCACATCAAGTTATTCTTTGATGAGTTAGACAATAACATCAAACCCTTTCAGACCCCAAACCCTTTCACAGTCCACAAAATTACTGTTTATCTGTTCTTTGAGCTTATATCAATACACTGATACATGTAGTTACATATTCATTTTGGGGTTTTCTCTAGGGGTCTACACCTTCCCAAAAAATCATCATGGCCATTATTCCCCTGATTTGGTACCGACCAACCCCCCAGGCTGATCGCCTATATGACGTCATCAGTGTGTTGATCCGGAATGGGATCCTTTGACATGCTATCTTGAATCTCTTAGTACTCATATCTTATTTACTTGATCATTTTTTATATTTTTGTTCCTTGCTAACGATACTCCCGGGCTACTTTTGTACAACTTTTTTGTGAGTTTGGTTCATCAATTGCTGAGAAAAAGTGTCTCATTTTTGGGACACCCGATATAGGCTTCAGGTGCAAGCTATAATATGACATCCTCCCATCTTCTTTCTTTTTACCCCCTGCTAATAGGCAGTTGGCATTTCCCCGATTAAGAACTCGCATACGTCATCGGCGCATAATTAGATCACGTGATTCAGTTTAATCGGGCGCTTCCAACTTGGTTATATAGCAGGGGGAAAGAAGGAGGTATAGATTCTGGACACCTGCTTAGGAGGATGCAATAGGATGATGGAGACTGTTTTAAGACGTAGTTGCACCCCTTGACATATCAGTGTAAAGTCATGAACTAATTCGGTCGCCAACACAGACACAATAGGACTCATAGCAGGGTCTAAGACATCTTCTGAAAACGTTTTTTTACTTACCGACACACGCTGGTTCGTCGCCATCCACCAGTTCATAGCCAACTTCGCAGTCACATTCAAAGCTTCCGTACCTATTCAAGCAATATGCATTCGCCATACAACTTGTTGGATCTTCCAAACATTCATTGATATCTAAAACATAATGTTACATGCATGAATGAAGACGTGAGTGGCTCCAATTATTGTTTGGTATTACAGGGTGACGCAAAAATACCACCTACTAATATTTTCAATAATGAAGGAATCTAAATGATTTTTTATCATTCTGTAGATAGAGTGTTCAGTGGATAAAAATCGGTGTGTTTGCACAGTATCGACAACTTAGAAATTAGGAGATATCTTATTTTCCGCAGAAGCATGCTCTGACGCAAAAATCACTCAAAAATGTAAACTAGAAAATGTGTCTCATAAAAATTTACCCAATAAGCGAGTTAGGTCATCAAAGTTGACAAAATTATTGAAAAGATTGGTAAATATGACATATTGATGACAATATATGTGAACCAGAACCAGAAATGACTCGGATAATGGCGAAGACAGAAATTGTATTTTTGAACATTTTCAAACGATTTCACCGAGGGCATCCCTGGACGGTAAACTTGATGTCTCTAAATCTCTAAGTTGTTGATGCTGTACAAGTAAAACGATCGTTCCACTGAATACCACAAAAGGCCGATATACAGGGTGTCCCGAAAGTATGCCCCCCCCCCAGGCAGACATACAACAATGTCCCCATAGTATGTGTCATATATCATTCTAAAGCTTGTCCAAAGTTACATTGATTTGCCAAGTATCATGGTTCAACTCACAAATGGGAAAAAGTTACATACATTTCAAAATGTACTGTTTTACCAAAATTAAAGTTTAGTTTTACACAAAATTAATAGTCGCCATGTCTCCCTTGGCCATGTTAACAGCAGCAATTCTTTCCAGATATGACCTTAAATACACTGCAAATAGGGGTATGGCATTTAATAATCCTAATAAAACCTTTTTAAGGCATTTTAGAAGAGTTTCCTTGGAGTATCTGCCCTTACCGACCTCTTTTTACAACTCAATATCCATCCTCTCTTTAATGATATCACCCATATTTTTGGTCACATTCAGTTTAGCGGTGTTTCCAGGATACTGATTTTAACTTTAATTTTGGCCAAACACTAAGTTTTGAAATGCCTGTAACTTTTTCCCATTTGAAAATTGAACGATGATACTTGGCAAATCAATGTAACTTTGGATGAGCTTTAAAATGATATATGACACATACTATGGGGACATTAGTGTATGTCTGCCTAGGGGGGCCCCCATACTTTCGGGACACCCTGTAGTAAAGATTTAATTAAGGAGATTGACTTTAATGAGACTGTAAATCTATGAGACCAGTGATAAACAGACCATCTTTCTCATAAAAACAAACATGCTTTCTATAACCACAGAGGAAAAAGGTCCACGGCTATAACATGTTTGGAATAACGGTTTACTGTGTCCATACCTTCCTCACAATTCGTTCCTCTAAATCCGGATTTACAGTCACATAGGTAGCTGTTAACTCCGTCGAAACAAGTTCCGTCGTTAAGACAGGGTGTTGGATCACATTCATCTATAAGTAAATTATATGATGAAATAATTAGTCGTATGTGAATTAGTGCATTTGGACTCTGGTGGCTCCGTTTTACGTCAGAGGTCCCCTGAAGTAATAAAGACGTTTAAGATTAATCGAAGAAACAAATATGTTTAAAGACTCGGGCAGGTCATTGTATTTAATACCCCTATATTCTCATCCATATTTTAATCTAAGGTCCTGTTCTGCATTCCTTAAAGATTTCCTTTATCTATCAAAGGGGGATTATTTTTTGGAATTTCATTATTTCAAAAATCTGACTTTAGAATTGAAATCGATGTGCATGTAGTTTGAAACTGAAAATTAATTGAAATGCTAGTTAATTATGTATGTTTGACTATTCACCAAAATTGTTCATCCTCATTAACATTATATCATTAGTAAAATGTAATTGTTGTATAAAATATATGGACTATACTATTACTTACTTTTTCGGAGCAATTCAACTGGAACAGCAATAGTCACCGCTACTATAAAAATGCAAACCACACTCAATAATTGACGAATTTTGGAACAGTTGATTACGTAGGAAATGTCCTTGTTTTCAATTATGCAGCCGTTATCCCCTCCGTCCTCGTTAAATACATCGTTGGATATTTCTTCACTGGGCACCTCATCGTTCGACATTTTTCTTGTTTATATCCTCAGGGGATTAGTCACAGACTGCATCTAGGACAGGCAAATATAAATACACGGCAAAATCCACGTTCAATCTAAATTATTGTCCTTGAGGTCAAAACCACTTCTACGTGACAATAAAACGCTTCAAAACCAAATCGCATGTCATGATATCCCCGGGATTATGCTTTAGTGCATTTAGTTCAGTGTAACACTGGATCAATATCCATGCATTTCGAAATAGAGATGTCTGAAGTCAAAATTGTAAGTCCTGTCAATAATCGTTTGTAGTAGGTTAAAGATCCATACCAAATGTCGTTCTCTGAACGCCTTTCAAACCTATAACGATTGTCGAGAATGATTCGTAAAAGTGATGCATATCATCTACATATATAACCAAATCATAAACATTCCATGAGATGTGATTATAGTTGTGTTATTATACTAAAACATAGTGATGGTGACGTCAACATTATAGGGAATATCAGGCGTCTCTGTGTCGCTCCATGGCTTTTTGTTGATTATTTTCAATTATATTATTCACATTTCTCCTGTTTTAATAATAATTCGTTTGATTTTACTTAGGAAAGAGTTATATTAATATACTCAAATGTATTAGGCCTAATGCTCGTGTAAGCGAAATTGGAAAAGTCAACGTCGCCTGTATTTGAGACCTTACATTTTGTATGTAGGTGTTTGTTTTTAGTAAATGATAATGATAGCTATTGATACTTAAATGAGATGTCACTTAATGTCAGCCGTCACTTCGACGCTGCATCATGAGAATTGTAATAATTTAAAATTCGATTCATAGTACAACATCTTCATTATTAGTGACATGGATTTGGGTTCGGATTGTGTGTGTGTGTTGTTCAATGAAGATGTGAAGAAAGGCGTCTTATTTAAAAGTACAAAACAACCAGAGCTTGACCATTAATTGATGTATTTCGTACCTACATGTAAAATGGTATTTTCGTTCTACCAAACGTGATCACGATTGTTTGATACATACTGTGTTGAGGTTTACCTCTCATAACATATTGTGTTTTGGTTATTAGATGATATTGTTTGGACAATGCATGATCTAACCAGTGTCCATGCAACACTGTTCGTTTGTGCACACCACCCTCATTTTGAGTGTTGTCTCAGTTCTCGAAATCGTTGTTCCCTCTTCAAAAGAGGAGACGTGAAAATCTTTCCTTTACTTTCTGAAAATCAAACAGAGATAGAAATTAAGAAAAGATATTCGGAACTTAAGAAGTAGTCTAATACATACATCTATATTACAATTATATTTACTAAGTATAGATAAAACCCCTTTAACCTTTTTATATACATTAATGACAATTTAACCACAAACGTGTGGATATCCGTCATTTGTATTCCGTTTGAAAATTAAAAGAGATATTTAGTTTAGTTTGCGATTTGTATTACAAAGATCACGACAGATATCATCTACCTAATTATAGATACTAGATATTAACTACATACTTATTATTCTAATGGACAACGATCTCCAGCGCTATCAAAACTACATGGTTGTCATGGTGCATGGTCAATACAAAGCAATTATAACTACATGGTTGTCATGGTGCATGGTCAATACAAAGCAATTATAACTACATGGTTGTCATGGTGCATGGTCAATACAAAGCAATTAGTTATTCAATGCTTTTCCTTTTATTTCAATATGTCAAATGATAAGAAAAAAAAATATCGTAAACCTGAGTCGTGTTCAGAAGTTAAATATTATAATAATTTCATGATTACAGTATACCGCTGGATTTCGGATAAAATAAAGTTGATGAAAGTATTTACAGCAAATATTATTATTAACATCAGAGGTCTTTATTCAGTGCAATTATATCACGATCATGACACGTGTAGAAACTAGTACCTGGTACATAGAAATGTTAAATTGAATGAGGAAATATATTATTAAATACCTGACGTGCATTACATTTTAATTAACTGTTACTGTTTCAAATAATAACTATCTACGGATTTCTATGATGCGACTTTGTGGTGCCATTCTGGTTGTCGCATTTTTAAAACGATTTATTCTTTCTCGTTAAAATAGAATAGGTATGTTGTGTCATATCTTCCTGAAACAAATTGTCAATTCTGTAATTTGTATCAAACAGAAAATATCGAAAAGATTTTTTAATAAAGAAACATGTTGGAATAATTTCTCTGCCTTTATATCGGATTTTTTTATTAGATAAACATATAGGCCTAAAAAATATACTATCTTCCGTAAACAGGTAACTATTAAAGGCACTAATATTATACATGTCACTCAGATGTGTCATATCTTCCGAAATCGAATAGTTTAAGATGTACATGTGCACTGTACAGTGTGTTTTAAAAGACAACAACAAAAACATTGCAAAATCACAAAATCAGTGATACCTTCATTGATTACATTTAGTTAACCATGACGCCACACGTCTCTTCTTTTCAATTGTACGCATGTATGCACAATTGTCCAAAATCTGCTCTGAATTAAGTTTTAGGCATGGTACTCTACGACAGAGAATCACAGGTTGCTGTTCTCTGCCAGAACCCACAGATGATTCAAAAAGCTTTGCGTGTCGTGTGTCATGAAGAGATTAGCCAATATTTACTTGCAGAGAAATTATGGACATGGAATGTAGTTTGCATGAGTAATCATTCACAAGATAACAGAAAATGATAGCAACTGACTTTACTGTTTTATTAATGCCACTTCTTTTTTTCAAATGTGTAATGTGCTGTTAAAGTGTCTTTCTAAGACTTAGAAGGAGAAATATGAGATTTCGAGCCATATGTCTCAAGAAAATGCTCTTACCTATCTAGTAGGATGAGTTCAGGTGCCAAAAACAGCTGATCAAAGGATATATATCATTTTCTAATTGAAAATTTTTGTTGAGCCCTGCATTTTTAACACTGTTTTGACAGGAAGTCATACCCAAAATGAAAACTGAATAAAACAACATTTATCCTAAATGTAGATCAAAAAACTTACTCAGACATACAAAATGTTATTATAAGTAGTAATGCTGATCATTTCTAAGAAAATTAAGCATATAAATAAGACTTTTTTCGTCCATGATTATATAGATAAAGAATTACTTCAATCAGGAAGCTTTGATTATTTGGTGTAGTGGTTAGAGCTTTGGACTCAATAGACTTTTATTCCAAAAGATCTGGGTTCGAATCCCACAGGTGGAATATATCTTTATTTTATTTTTTTTTTTTATTTTGATCCACAATATTTCTAAAATAAATTTTATATATGGCACTCAAACCATATTTAGTATTTCCAAGTGTTTTAATTTTTAGTTGAAATCATGGAAAGTTACTTTAACTAAGTATCATGGATGCCGATAAACACATTAAGTGAAATAATTTTTCTTATTATAACTAAGTATGAAATGTATACCATGTAAGTCTTGTGACTAAAAGTTAATCTTCGGTCCAATGATTTACCTGATTGCATAATAAGGATCGATTGAATTAGGATGTTTCAAACTTGGCACAACGACATTTTTAATGTTCGAATAAACAATGATTTTTCAGTGGTCCATGATCGTATATGAACAAATGACATATCATTTGAAAGAGGAGACATGTGGCTTTATTGTAAACTAAATTAAACTGATCTACTCATTACTGAATTTATGCTTTTACAATGTTATTGTTCGCGTTTCTTGAAACGCATTGTATAACTCATTCGAATGTGTCGTATCTTCCTTGATCAATAAATGTATTCACTATTATAACTCACTCGAATGTGTCATATATTTTTAAATTTAGTAACTGTTAAATGTGTTCACTATATAGGTCACTCAAAATGTGATGACGAAATCCGTTTGACTAACTCGGGTATTATAAAGCATAAACCTGAGGGATTCTGGGTAAAGGTGTGCTATTTAGGATACAGATTCATACTAGAAAAGGTCCTCGCAGATGTAGCATGTAGACAACTTGGCTACACTTTTGGTATATCGGGGGGTGTGCTGAGAATTTTTGAAGGCCCTTATGGAAATTACGATATCGAATGTGATGGGACAGAACAGAAACTACAGGATTGCAAACGATTTCGTTACGATGATGATGACAAAAGATTTTGCTGGAACAGCCTTAATGTCATATGTGAACCCAAATTTAGACTTAGACAAGAACTGGTTACATCTGGTTTAAAAGCTGGATTTTTGGAAATCTATACCCCAAGAGGATGGTTACAAGCATTTTACGTATCACCATATGTGGGATGTAAATGGCTTGGCTTGGGGACAGCATTTGCCACAACAAAAGATAGCACTGGATGGGCACATACTTCTGCTTACGTATATTGTGACTTCATTGAGGAGCTCTCAGAATGTATAAGTATTAGTATAGGAGACAAAAGATGCCCTGCCAATCCACGTTGGACATCGTGTTCAGACGAGCCATTGAAAAGTATGTAAACATTTATACATGAATACATCAAGGTAAAGCCAGAGTTTCCTTACACCGGCCAAGTTGAAGTGCATATCCCAAATAAGCCAATAGGATCTATTTGTGCCACAGGCTGGGGCATAAAAGAAACACAAGTGGTATGCAGACAGGCCGGAGCATTCAAGTCCTTCGGAATATATTTATATTTTGTTTTCCTTTGAATATTCATCAAAAATAATCTTTATAAGAATTTAAAAAAGATTATTTTTGATAAATATTCAAAGGAAAACAAAAAATATATATATTGCTATATTTTGACTTTCGATTTCAATTTACACACTGTATTCTCTCTTGCTCAGATGAACCCATCTATGTAGGCGTCGACACAAATATATAACAGGAGGCAGCATTGACCCGATATTGATGAGTGATGTAAAATGTAGTGGTAAAACATTGCCGAGTGTACCTTTAAGTTTGGTGATGAAGCGTCTTGCATATCTCGTCGCATGAGAATAACTTTGTACTAACTGCCATTTTCAAAAAAATTGAGATAGACATGGAATTTTACTATTTGAAACACAGGCTTTCATCTCAGATACATGCCCCATCTCAATTCCCTCTCATTAAGCTA